CGGACAATAAATGATTAGGTGTGCCCTAGCCACAACGACCGGAAAGGGTTAAAACAGGTGCAAACTCGTGCAAACGTACGCGATGGATTTTCTCTAAAAACTAAGCTCACGCGAGAAAATTCTATTCCACATTCATCGTTTACTTATTTTCACAGTGTCTACTTTCGGTCTCGCCCTCTACGCAGGTTTCGTTCGGCAAGGTTCGTCGATGCGAAAAAGCGAGAGAGGGGGAACCGGTCGTGACCGTCGAATATATTCGGCTCAGACTATAAATTCGTTTCACGCACCCTGGCGTTCGCCGGAATCTTCGCCCGGCTCTTCCGCCTGTGCATCTCGAGAGTGGGCTCGCTGTCGCTGCCCTCCGCCTCGCCCTCCGAGCTGAACTCCTCTTCTTCGTCGCTGTACTCCGGGCAGAGCCGCTCGTTCGGATCGTTCATCAGTCTTTTGTCCTGATCGACCGGCTGGGAGCTTAGCGCGACTACGCTCACGCGGGCCAACGCGACCGAGTGCCCGCCGTATTTCTCCGCCTTGTCCGATATCAGCTCCAACTCCAGGTCCATCTGCTTCTGGAGAACCTGTGGGCGCACACGGGTACAACATAGCTCGATGAGAAATGAGCAACATTTTTTTCTTCCTTTTTTTTTTCTTTTTGGCGATGCTGCTTGGATTTGGGTGTATTTGGTAGAGGTAAATGAACTATTAGTGGCGTGTTACGAATAAGGTGTGCGAATGGACGGTGAGAATGGTAAAATGAATGGAGTTTATTAACACGTTAAGCGCCATGTCAATCACCGGTGACTGACACTACACTTTCCGTTCGGACCGCGTCAGTCACTTGCGACTGACACTATACTTTCCGTTCGGTCGCGTCAGTCACCGGTCACTGACACTATACTTTCCGTTCGAACCGCGTCAGTCGCCGGTGACTGACAGTATACTTTTCGTTCGGGCCACGTCAGTCACTGTTGACTGACGATATACAATTTAAAAAATTATATTCTTCTATTAATAAATTTTAAATAATTTGGAGATCATAAAAGAATGTACCTAAATATTACTTATTACCAAAAAAAAATTTTAACGAGTATTGCTAAAACACATGCAGTCTTATCGCAATCTTACACAGATCTCCGGCTGCCAGCATATCGGTGAAATCGGCTAAACGGAAAGGAAGACAAAACAGGCTTGGCGCTTAACGTGTTAATATTTAGGCATCAATAATAATAATTATGCTCCCGGCCCAGGAAAGCCTTAAATCTTTCAAAGGAATTCAGTTTGAAACGGCGTAGAAGAGATTGCACCGACGGTGTATTAACATTTTACTCGATAGTAACTTTATATCATGGCACAGATTGTATTCAAGGTAAAACAAAAATAGGTCATATGAGTAACATGGATTAATTTTAATCTCGAATTCTTACTTTATAAAACTGAGGATAACCAAGTATAAATAAAACAATATGTTGCCTTTTCTGAACGGTGTTATCTGAAATGAAACCATCACTGTTCCGATATCTGTTTACAGAAAACTACGTGTACGAAAATTACACAACTTTGAAATGAAAAAATTTCTTTTAACTTTTGAAATTAGTAAAAATGACATAATTTTCATCGAAGTTTCCAAGCTATCTTGGAAATATTTCAATGTTTCTCTGGTATTACTACTGGCTTCAGCAGAGATCAAATACAGTTGATGATATTGACGACAATATCGCTAACGATACTGATGATATCAGTTTGTCAGTCGACCTTTCATAAAGTTGAGTAGTTTTTGCTCAAGCTTCAAATGTCTCTCACGATTCCAGATAATAGAAGAATTTCTATGGAAAAGTTCATATAGAAACACTTGAAAAATTCATCGAACACAAAAAATATTCAATATTCTCTTCAGCTTTCTTTTCTAATTTTCCCGAAAAAGAAGAGAAAAGAAGGAAAATCGTGTTCTGATTTTCAAAATGCTTTTTATCCCGTTTTTCACATGTATAAATTTCATATCTATACTCTGTTCAAAATAAGAGTAACCTCGCTTCGCGCATGGGGCGTGCCTAAGGCAGGGCTAGAACCACTAGAACGTCCGAACCCCCACTTAACCACCTACGTTTTTCTCCGTCTTACCCTCTGCTACGCTCTCTGTCTATGCGCAGAACGGACGAGAATCGGTCCGAGAGCGAGGTTACTCTTATTTTGAACGACGTATACAATGCCAGTTAATTTTTTTACAATTCAAATAAGAAGTTATTAAAAGCATTACACTTTAAAACAAATTTTATCATTCGTATTCTTGTTTTAATGACAGAACACTCTAATTCTGTATATTTTCAGCAACAACCAAAATATTACCGACTGCGAAAATGCTGATATAATTAATTTTGCTTATCACATACTGCAATCTGTAATTACGAATAACAATTCAGATAACAAAATTCATAAACTGCTTTTCCTAATTTTCTTTCAAGCTTTTAATCTAACGCCTTTAATAAGAAATTTAAGGTAACCATAATCACTTTTCGCTCAAGGTGATAATTCTAAGTTACATCATTACACTGCTCCTGCAATCTAATCTCTGAAGATTTGAATGTTGGTATAATGATAATACGATATTGCAGTCTGTATCTAAATCTCAAATCACGGAATCCTCTTGCAGCGATAAATCAATTGTAGCTCTCCTCTGTACACTAAATACCATTATTCCATCC